CTGCAAACAGTGACAACAACTGCAAACAGTGACAACAACTGCAAACAGTGACAACAACTGCAAACAGTGATAACAACTGCAAACAGTGATAACAACTGCAAACAGTGAAAACAACTGCAAACGGTGAAAACAACTGCAAACAGTGAAAACAGCTGAAAACTTTCTCCACAAAATGGACGTGCTCCAGACCACTTGGGGCAGTTGAACAAAGAACAAATCATAAAAGAAACTTGAAGGAAGAAAGACGATTGCCAACCGCAAATAAATATCACAAGATATCTTTCTTCCTGCCAATGATTTGACCCTTCTCAAACAGACTGACATCTTTTCCACAACCACGCGATGTCTTTTGACACGGTTGTTTAAGAAATAAGAGGCAACTCATTGCACCAGTTGGGGTTAAATAACTTGTTGCCAGCTGAAAGGTGATCATCCATGCAGTAATTATCCACTAGGAGGCTTGTACCTATTTGCTTAGTTAAGTCCAGGTGGCAACTTTTTTGGGGCCAGGCCGTATATGAACTAAGAATAAGCTAAGCACTAGTAGTACAAAAACAATACGCAGAACAACAGCAGCACAAACATGAGTCTGCGTGAACAGATGAGTAGGAATTAATACAGCAGCATGAAATAAATCAGAAGCACGAGATGAGCAGCATGGATAGTCAGCAGCACATGTCAACAATCAAAGTTGCATTACAGTGATTGTTTTTCCACAGTGATTATTCTGGTTAGAGATTTATGAGTTTAACAGTTTCAGGGTAGAAGCTGTTCCTCAGTCTAGTGGTTCTACACTTAATGCTCCTCAACCTCCTTCCTGAGGGGAGGGGGGCAAAAAGTGTGTGTGCTGGGTGAGTGGGGTCCTTCATGATGCAGGTTGCTCTCTTCCTGCATCTGGAGGTGTAGATGTCTGTGATGGTGAGGAGGCTGACTCCAACAGACTTCTGTGCAGCCTTCACCACTCTCTGCAGAGCTATTCTGTCAGCAGCTGTGCAGCCTCCATGACACACGATGCTCTCCTTTTTATTCCATTTACTGTGTGGTTTAAAAATATGCTCAGTGTTCAATGGGATATTTTGCTAATAGACAGAAAAAAATGACTCACAGTTAAAGGGTAAGTGAACTGTACTTATGGAGCGCTTTTCTATCAAATAAAGACACGAAGCTCTTTACAACACAATCTATGCCCTCATTTACCTCCACACACACATTCATACAGCACTCTACTACACACACACATTCATTAAGCGCTCTACTACACACACACACACATTCATACAGCGCTCTACTACACACACACTTTCATACAGCGCTCTACTACACACACAACTTCATACAGCACTCTCCTACACACTTGTTCATATAGCACTCTACTACACACATTCATACAGCACTCTACTACACATACACATTCATACAGCACTCTACTACACACACACGTTCATACAGCACTCTACTACACACACACACACGTTCATACAGCACTC